TATTTACAGTTTTGCATACCTTCATTTTTTTACCTTTTCGCAAAAAGGCGCAATTACAAATTTGCTAATATTTGTTATTTATTAACTCAATACAGTTTTATCTTTTAGATTTAGTCAAAAAATATTTTTTTTTGTGCACGGATACTGATTTTGGTGTGTTTTAACAATTGAATTGTGTATTTTTATCGGTTTAATATTAATTTGAGAAACATTTGCGCAATTATCGCAGGGCCTACAAATTTAGTATCACCATCTTTTTATTCTACCGGGCCTGCGCTTTCAGAAAATATATGGTTTGGGGGGTCTTTTACAAACGCTAGCAACGCAGCAGTTGAAAATCAAATCAATAGGAAAAAATTGCAGACAATTCAAAAATGGCTTGGCCAGCTGATTTGAAAAATGTTCCGGAGGGCTTGGCAGCGAAAGGGTTAAACACTTTAACAACAGCTGCTCTTGAACATTTAACGAATTCTGCTGTTTTGCTGATACTCCCTGCATGGCTCCGAGCGCCAACAATCATCTCACGTTCAAAGGCTGTTAAATCGCGTTGTTTACCCATATCTTCAGAAAAAAAGAACTTCTACTGTCGTGGTAAACAACCTGCTTCCCTATTTATAATGGTCTGGCCCTCCAGCAACTTCAGCGCAAAATTATAGCTAATTTGCCTACAAACGTCAGGTGGTCATAATAATCTGGCCATAATATATCTATCTATCTATCTATCTATCGATACATATAGATCGATAGATATATATAATCATACACACACACAAAATATAATCATACACACAGAAATATGCTTGAATACTTACCAATTGCATCCACCATGCAGGCTTCTCTTGTGTACGCCTCTACTGGGATTGTGTTCTGGAAACAATGAAGGGACAGCACACCCTGACCTGTTCTCCAGATGTCTAAAATATGCTGTACTTTAGAACAAGGCTGAAATCGACAGAAAACATATGTTAACTATTTGAAAACAAAAGCGATCACGATTTTCTGGACAGTTTTGCTGTTTGCTTCAGTCTAGTAAGTCCTCATCTCCAGGTATACCAGGTGTGTACACTAGCATCTATTACAGCACTTACCGTGTTTCCCCGAAAATAAGACACTGTCTTATATATTTTTTTCCCAAAAAAAAACCACACTAGGTCTTATTTTCAGGGGATGTCTTATTTTTTTCCCCTTCTCCAGTACTGTATGATACAGTACATTACATACCAGTATCTCTGCTCTGTGTGACAGCAGTGTGCCTCAGCCTCCACAGCATATTTTATCATCTTCAATTAATTAGAGATGTTTTATAAAACAGTTTTATCTCTATTATTTAAATTATAGTTAAAAAAAAAGTATGTGAGGGGATGCTCAATGGGGACATTTTAGACTGCATACTTTCCCCATTGAGGATCCCCTCACATACTTTTTTTTTTTTACCATAATTTAAATAATACGGTAGAGATAAAGCTGTTTTATAAAACATCTTTAATTAATTGAAGATGATAAAATATGCTGAGGCACACTGCTGTCACACAGAGCAGAGATACCGGTATGTAATGTACTGAGAATTGGAGTGAAAGAATGGTACTGTGACTGTCACAGTACGGTACCTGGCTGCAGCTGTCTGGAGCTCTGTAATGCCGTCCAGGGAGCCAATCAGATCACCTCAGCTTTGACCTCACTGGCCATGCCGCTGTGCCTGCTGGGAAACGTAGGCAGCTCTAATTTCCTAAAAGCCGAGGACCGGCAGGCAGACGGGCCGACAGGAGGGGATGAGAGAATGAAGGAGCTGCGGCGGCCAGAACGTTTGAGATCTTGCATACCGGCCGACAGGAGGGGGTGAGAGAGGGAAGGAGCTTCGGCGGCCAGAAGGTTTTTTGCGATCTTGCAGACAGGAGACAAGCTGCACATACCGGTATCATTGATTTTTACACTCCAACAGACCCCTTGCTGGCTGCTTGGATGCATGTACATGTGCGCCCCCTACCGCCGAACTAGGTCTTATTTTCGGTGATGGGTCTTATATTACAGAAATCCCTGAAGATAGCGATAGGTCTTATTTTCGGGGTAGGTCTTACTTTCGGGGAAACACGGTATGTAGAGGGAGTAAATATTAACCAACTCCAGTACTCAGTAAGGACAGACTTTGAATTGCAAAAGGTTTGTAACCCTGATTTTACCAAGGAAAATACTACAGAGTATGATATTTGTATTTGAGCAACCTAAGGAACACGGTACCTAGGCAAGATTCTGGCAACTCAAACATAATTGACTTTTCCTGACTTCCTCGCCCCACCAAGACAGTTCATACCAAGGAATAAAGGGGCAGGCTTATATACCCACACACTAGAGGTCAAACTATCTTGTGCTGACCTCCAGCCAATATTTTTTTTGTGAGGGTACGAAAGCAAGGGACAGCAAGCATTAAATACACACACAGAAAGGGTTGTACAATGGGATTATAGCTGGAAATTATAGGTCAAATTGATCTCTTAAGACTCTAGGTGATGGCCACCATTTGGGTGTCCATTGCACTGGGAAAGTTCTGTAGGTATCGCACCGCACTCCTTACTCCGTATACCCTGGTAAAATGGGTGCCGATGTGACAGTGGATGATGCCGTCTAAACACAAGCCGTACAATATGTCATCAGCACAAAAAGGGTCTGTGTCCAAAATGCCTTTATTTACATTTTAGCATTTTGGCAAGAAAACAGCAATGTTACGGGGAGCGCACAGGGTCCCTTCATCAGGCATAATATAACAGTAGTACAATAACACATAACCTTCTATACCCACAATAAACTCACAAATCACGAGTGAAAACATTTTTTAAACATTCCAGCCCCGACCTCCCCTGAGGTCATGATCTTCTAATTGTTTACATGTCAGTTAGCTTTACTGTGATGTCCGGGGAAGTAGGGCTGGAGTTTTTACATTTTGTTTCACTGGTTATTTGTGAGTTTATTGTGGGTATATAAGGTTATGTGTTATTGCACTTGTCCAATTATGCCTGATGAAGGGACCCTGCCTAGCCCCAAAACATTGCTATTTTCTTGACAAAATGCTCAAACATCAATAAAAGGTGTTTAGGACACAGATTCTTGGTGTGCTGGTGACATATTGAACTTCATTGCACTGGGAAAAAAAAAAAAACACAGAAAACATTGTACAGCAGAACTAAATAGCTGGAGAGGACTACAGTGTTTCTAGGAATCTTCCAGGACAGCAACCTGAGGAGATGATTGGTTCCCCCTTCTACAGGAAACACAATTAGTAAAACAGTTAAAAGCCCCTTCCCTTCGTACCTCAGTTGAGAAAAGTAGACTACCACCACCAGTAAATGAGGGGACACACCGACAACAAATCACATTCTATATATTATTCCGGGTGGGAAGTAGGCTTGCTGTCCTGGAAGATTCCTAGAAATACCGTTACCGGTAAGTCTAACGGAACATTTCCCTAATTAGCTTCCAGGACAGCAACCTGAGAGGATAAACAAGTACATAAAATACAAGTCAACCTCTTTAGGGCGGGACAATTGTTTGAAGCACCTTTCTCCTAAAGGCCTGATCTTGCTGGGACAAGACTTCAATTCTGTAGTGTTTGACGAAAGTGTCCTGCTTTGACCAGATAGCGGCCCTGCAGATCTGTTCCACCGATGCCCCAGCTCTTTCTGCCCAGGAAGTGGATAATGACCTGGTTTAATGGGCTCTAACTGAAAGAGGTAAATCTTTTCCCTCAGACCTATAAATCCAGCCAATGACCTGTCTGAGCCACCTGGCTATAGATGGCTTAGAGGCCTGCAACCCTTTTCTTGGGACCAAAAAACAAAACTAACAAATGGCTAGACTTTCTGAAAAGCCTGGTTGCCTCCAAGTATTCAATGAGACACCGTCTAACATATAGAGTGAAATATCATCTCCCTCTGATCTTTTGGGTCATCACAAAACAATGGCAAGACAATTTCCTGAGACCTATGAAACCTGGGATAATACTTTTGGAAGATACAGAGGATCTGGTCTCAAAATTACTCTGTCTGGGAGAATAGTTAAGTATGGGTCCTTGATCCATAGGGCCTGAAGGTCTCCTACTCTACTGGCTGAGGTGATTGCAAAAAGAAATACCATCTTAAGCGACAGCCATTTAATAAGAGCCCCCGAGACAGGTTCAAATAGAGATTTGGTCAAACCAGCAAGTATCAAAGATAAATCCCAGGAAGGGAATACCTTTGATTGAACAGGGCAAGAATGTTCTGCTGCCAACAAAAACCTTTTAACTAGAGGCTCTTCCAGCAATCTACACTCCAAAAATACAGAAAGGGCTGACATCTGTACCCTAAGGGTACTGAGGGCTAATCCTTTTTCAACCCCTTCTTGTAGGAAATCCAAAACAATGGGTATTGGAGGGGAAGCAACAATCCTGTCCTTATACCAACTGGAAAACACCTTCCAGATCTTTCCATAAATTTTTCTAGTGGCTAATTTTCTACTAGATAAAATAGTGTTGATTACCTTTTCAGAACAACCCTTCCCCCTCAAGGTCCTCCTCTCAAGAGCCAGGCCGTCAAGCACAAAAAAACTCAGGTTTGGATGCAAGATTGGGCCCTGAAGAAGATCCTTCCTTGCTGGAAGGGACCACGGAGTCTGGATAGATCTTGCTAGCAGCTGTGAGAACCATGTTCTTTTGGGCCAAACGGGTGTCAACAGAATGCCAATGCATGCAGATATTCCCAACTTCTGCAACACCTGAGGAATCAGGACCAGAGGAAGGAACGCATAATCCAGGCTGAAAGTCCAGTCCTATGCCAGCGCATCCACTCCCCTGGAGCCAAGAGAAGAACCCCTGAATCTTTAAATTTTCTTTGGTGGCAAATAAATCCCTCTAAACTACGCCACCTAGTGGGGGACATCAAGTGGGAAAACTTATTCCACAACCTGAACTTGGACCAAATGTGGGACTGTTTTAAGAACACATTATATATTGCTATTGCCAAGTGTATACTGTTGGGTAACAAAAGTAAAAGATCGAAACATAAGCCTGTATGGCTAAATAAAACTGTAAAACAGCACATCAAGGACAAAAGAGCGGCATTTATAAAATATAAGATGGAGGATAAAGGACGAAAACGGGAGGATAGTCACAAATTACAAGGAGAGGGCCGAGGCGCTGAACACGTTTTTCTCCTCGGTATACACTCAGGAAAAAAGACGGGTTTAATGTACATGATAAAAACACATAGTTCAGCACAAAATATACCTCAGTGGTTGACGGAAACCCAGATACTACAAAGACTTGCAAAACTTAATGCAAATAAAGCAGTGGGACCAGATAACCTGCACCCCAAAGTACTTAAAGAACTAAGCCAGGTTATAACAAAACCATTATTCCTCATTTTTAAAGGACTCTTTAATGACTGGTAGAGTTCCAAGTGACTGGAGGAGGGCAAGATGCCAACCGGGGAACTACAGACCAGTTAGTCTTACATCAGTGGTATGTAAAGTGTTGGAGGGAATGATTAAGGTAGAATTTGTTCAGGATAATGGCATAGTCAATGACAATCAGCATGGGTTCAGGAAAGACCGTTCCTGCCAGACTAACCTGCTAACTTTTTACGAGGGGGTAAGTAGAAATGTGGATGGAGGGAGGCCGGTGGATGTGGTATATCTGGATTTCTCGAAGGCTTTTGATACGGTGCCACACAAACGCTTGTTATACAAGCTAAGATCCATTGGCATAGATGGAATGGTGTGTATGTGGATAGAGTACTGGCTACAGGAACGGGTACAAAGAGTATCTATTAATGGCAGCTTTTTCAGAATGGGCTAGTGTCATGAGCGGTGTGCCTCAGGGTTCTGTGCTAGGCCCCATGCTGTTCACCCTATTTATTAACGACATCGGGGAGGGTGTGAATAGCAATGTTTCAGTGTTTGCTGATGATATCAAAATCGGGAGGGTAATAGAAACGGACCTAGACCGTTTAACATTACAGGAGGACCTGGATAAAATAGGGGAGTGGGCTAATATATGGCAGATGAGGTTTAACGTTGATAAATGTAAAGTAATGCACTTTGGGATTAAAAATAAGCAAATGGGCTATACAATCATGGGTATGCCACTAGGGAAGTCAGAAATAGAAAAAGATTTGGGAGTCATTGTAGACCACAAACCGAATGGTAGCTTGCAGTGCCAGGCTGCAGTAAACAAAGCAAGTAGAGTCCTGTCCTGTATTAAGAAGGGGATTTATTGCAGAGACAAATCTATAATTGTGCCACTTTATAGATCACTGGTTCGGCCTCATCTGGAGTATGCGGTCCAGTTTTGGTCACCAGTCCACAGAAAGGACGTCCTTGAGCTTGAAAGAGTCCAGCGGAGGGCAACCAAACTAATTAGGGGAATGGAGGACCAGAGCTATGAGACACGACTACTAAATTTAAAACATGTTCACGTTGGAAGTAAGGAGATTAAGGGGGGACATGGTTTTCATGTACAAATTGTTCAATGGTGACAGCAACATTAGCAACAAACTCTTTACAATTAACTCCGTAATAAAGACTAGAGGCCACCACCTAAAATTGGTGGTAAAGAAATTCCAGCACAAGGGGCGAAGGGGGTTCTTCACATTTAGAGCGTTTAGGGTCTGGAACTCGCTGTTAGAGGCAGTGATCTCAGCTAAGAATGTGGAATCATTTAGGTACACTTAAGAATTAACTGATACAAGAGCCTGTGTGTGTATGTGTGGGTGTGTGCATACGCACACATCAGCAATAGGTTGAACTTGATGGACTTATGTCTTTATTCAGCCTCAAATACTATGTCCCATTGGGATAACAGAAACATCTGCAGGGGTCTCATACGAAACTGGGCCCAATCCAGTGCTGGGATGGATGAGATCATTATACCCAACAACCTCATGACCTCTCTTAGTGTCAAGAAAATTGCCTGGCTTACAGATTGCGTCAGCTCCAGAATCTTGAGGACTTTTTCCTCTGCAAAAAAAAAGTATCCGAGATACAGGATGAGTTATGTATCCCAAAAACACAATTGACTCAGTTTCGGGTTAAACAGGAATTTTCCCAGTTCACTAGCCACCCCAGGAATTCTAATAGGCCCCGTACTTTTTTCAGACTTGATAATACTTCTTCCTGTGAGTGGGTATAAATAAGGATATTGTGTAGGTATGGAATCAGGAATAGGGGCCTTGTTGGCGCAAAAAAAAAAAGACACTGGCTCCGCCAAAACGTTTGGAGAAACTTCTTGGGGCGGCCGACAGACCAAAGGCGAGGGCTCGAAACTGCCAATGCATTACTGCCCTGTGTCCACAGCAAACCGAAGGTTTATCTGGTGTTCCAGACATATTAGGTACATGTAGGTATGCATCCTTTAGGTCCAGGGTGATCATAAATACTGAAATCTGAAGCCTCTTTCGTACTGAGTAAATGCTTTCCATACGAACTTGCTTGAACACTAGAAACTTGTTTAACTTCTTCAGATTTATCCTGAACCTTCCTCCTGGTTTTGGAACCAGAAATACATGGGGAGTAAAACCCCCGAAACTGCTGCTCTCCCGGGACCGGTACAATGACGTTTTGTGAAGCTAGAGTATGGATACACTCCTCTAGGGCTTGGGCCTTTAGGTGATCCTTTGAAAAGTTTGTTAGGAAAAAAAGATTGTGGGGGAAAAGATAAAAGCTCTAGGCGATACCCCCTTTCTAGGAGATCTAAAACGTATAGACTTTTTGAAATACTCTCCCATTGTGTCACAAACAGGGAAAGGCTTCCGCCCACCTTCGGGCTGGCGTCATTTAGAATCCTTGTTAGGGGTGGCTGGGAAAAAGCAGGCCTCCCTTAACGTTATTTTTATTAAAGGGCCAGGTTCTCCGCTGGGCCTTGGGCTTATTAGTTTGCTTTCCCTGATACTGTGGGGGGAGGGGCAAAAGATGAGCTCTTTTTCAGGAGTATCTGATCAAGAGCTCATCTAATCCAGAACCAAACATATAACCTCCCAAAAAAGGGAGACCACACAGTCTAGATTTAGAGGTTAAGTCACCTTGCCAGAATTTCAGCCAGATAGCTCATCTGGCTGAGTTGAGCAAATCTTGCGCCTGCTCGAACTGACTCTGCAGAAGCATCTGCAAGATAAGCTACTGCTCTACTTAAAACTGATAGACTCTAGAATTTGATCTGAAGGAGCACCCTGGGATATATGGGGTGAGACTCTTTCTAGCCATAGATCCATATGCCTCGCAACACATGTGGCAGCCACCCCCTGGGGCCATTGAAGCAGCATTGGCATCCCAAGCCCTGCGCAACATTGCCTCTGCCTTCCTATCCATTTGATCCTTTATGGCACCTGCATCCTCAAAAGAAAGGTCAGCCGTCTTAGAAACTTGCGCCAAAGAAGCATTTCATTTTGGGCATTTCAAACACCTTTCTTCTTCTCTACTAAAAGGAAACCTCCTTTTCCAGGATCTGAAAGCTATGAATTTTCTCTCTGGATCCTTCAATTCCCCCGCTATTAAATCCTTTAAAGATTGATGCATGGGAAAAACTCTTCCCTTAGGTTCTACTAAGCCCCTATAAACTCTCTCTTGTACAGACAAATTTTTAGGGGGGATCTGCTCAGTAGTGTATATGACCTGCAGCAAGTAACCCATATCATCTAAAAGGAAACGGATACCTAGACGGGCGAGACTCAGACTCCTCAATGGTTTCGCCCTCCTCCAGAGAACTCTCTGACCCAGACTCAGAATCTGACTCTGCTCTATCCAAAACGTCAGTGAAAGAAACTGGTTTCTGTAGTACCCCTGACGTACTAGGAATACTGGAACCTGTCAACATAGGTGCACTAGATGTGGAAGGCAACATATCAGCTATGGCACTCTTAAAAATTGAACTGTAGCCACCATCTCTGTTTTCATGCAATCTTGAAAAACCCTTCATAAAAGACTAGTAGATTCAGAGGCTAACAATTTCTGAAGTCATAAATCACAAAGTGGCTTAGAATAACCAGAGGGAAGCTTTAAATTGCAGCAGCCGCAGCATTTCTTAGCTAGTTTAATAGCTGGGGCAGGCGGTGGAACAGAACATTGAGGAGACACTTTTTCTGAAGAATCCTGCATAGCAAAATAAAAATCAGATAAGTGTACAATACCCCACTGCATAAACCACAAAGTGTCCCAGGTATTAGTGCAAACAGGCAAAAACAAGCAGCCTCACTCACCCCTTTAGCCTTGGGGGCAGTCACCGCCGGCTTGCCATCCTCCCCAATCGGTTAGCGCTGGCGGTCTTTCCCCCAGTCTGTCCTGGTATCTGGGCTCCACAGCTTCAGCAGCCTCCAACACACCAAACAGCAGAGAGCGCAGAGGAAGTGAGGTAATCGGCTGCGACCGGAAATGACGTCACACGTTCAAAGTCGAGGCTTGGAACGCACCGAAAGAACCTCTCAGTCCACTGCCTGCTTGAAACGCCGCTCCAGCATGACAGACGCCGCTCCGGAGCCACGCTACAAGCTCCCCTGCATCAACCAAAGGAAAGCAGGACGTGGCCACAGGCCTGGGGACCTCAGGAGTGGTTCCTTTAGGGAGGAAATGAACCAGATCGTGGCTTGTTTGAATATAGGGGAAAAAATCCCCACCGCTCTACAGCAAGGCCAAAGGGAATGAAATACACCTTTAACAGCAGAGCTGCAGAGTGGGACCCGTGACCTCAAGGGCAACCGGTCAGGAAGAAAAGAACAAATGTGACGTGGTCCTGAATGGTAGGAAACACAATATAAACTGAGGTACGAGGGGAAGGGGAGGGGCTTTTGACTGTTTTACTAATTGTGTTTCCTGTAGAAGGTGGAACCAATCATCTCTCAGGTTGCTGTCCTGGAAGATGATTAGGGAAACATCACTTCTGCTGACTGAATATTTTCCTCCTAACTGCTCCCATCTGTTGTGCAAGCCCTTCCTTTTTCTCTCCCATTCATAATCCATAATATCTTACACGATCTCATAGTAAGTACACTGTATGTGTGACTTTTTTCATATAAAACATACTGTGCTCTTGAGGTTGGAAGCTCTTAATAACTAAGGATAATGCTTTGTTTAAAGGTATTTTTAATATAGCAGGAAAATACTTTCAGTACCGGTTTGTTGTTACCCTTATGGTGTGTCAGAGACTCATACAGATGGCAATATGGACGCGCTCGCTTTCCTTTGCCCACATAAAACACTGCCTGGACAAAAGTGCGAAAGCACTCAGGTAGGGATAAGGTATGACAGCGAGATGGAAGGTTCCGGGTCACCCTAAAGAGCAGGAAAAAAAGCATAGTAACAATTTAATATTGGTAAAAGTATCTATTTTCCAATCAATCTGCGCTCTTACCACTACCTGAAATCCTAATAAAGTGTTAAGCAGCAAGTGTAAAAGTGAATAAAATCACCCTCCATCATAAATTACCCAAAAACACTGTGCTAAAAAGCAATCTAAAAAAAAACCAAATACATAAAAGAAACCAGAAACGTCCAGTGTCCATTCAATTCATAAGAAATCTTCCATTAAAATGTGCAATCCAACTCGAATCTTTATATAATCCCGGTGTGCTTCACACAAAAGAAAACTCTGGCCAGGCCATTTTACAGTATTCAGAGCTGCGGTACTTTAACATTTATTCTGTCATGCAACGCTGTACTGAAATTAAATGTTTATCATTTTTGGGGACAGATGGAGATTTCTTTTGGTGGTATTTAATCACCACTGGGGGTTTTATTTTTTTACTATATAAATGAAAAAAAGTAGGGCTGCGGAAATTAACGATTAATCCCTCGATTAATCGTTAATTTTTTTGATCGATCAAAATTCTTTTGATCGGTACTCACCTCTCCGCCGGCTTCCGTCGGAGATCCGGTGACGTCACGGACAACTACGTCACCGGACTCCTCCCCCCTTCCCCAAGTGGCTCTGTCGGCTAATGAAGGGAAGGAGGGAGGAGTCTGGCGACGTCAATGTCCATGACCTCACCGGACTCCCCCCTTCCCTTCGTTACCTGACGGAATCACTTGGGCCGGTGAGTCTCATGGTTCATGATTGCATCGAATGTGTGGACAATGTCTACAAGCTAAAATATCATGTAAAATCTGCGCTTATGGAACAATGGGAGATATGAGTAACAAATATTAAAGCTGCTGCACTAAAGACACTGAGGCCAAAAGATGTATATAATGAATGTGCAGTGCTAAGGGTGCTTTTTTAGGTAATGTGAATGAGCATTTATAATAAATGAACGAGAGATTTATTATAAAGCTACCTGCACAGTCCTGGGGCGAGGCAGCCTTCACAGGCTACAGCAATGGTGACAGCCCTGTGGAGACACTAGAGAGCCCTGGTTCAACCAGGGCTCTGTGGGGACTCAACAGCTGTCTGTGGGGTCTAACAAAGTTGGTTAGACCCCACAGAGCCCTGCTACCCTGGTGAGAGGTCTTGCCAGGGCTCCGTGGGGTCTTGCCAGGGCCTACAGAGCCTGGGTTTAACCAGGGCAGTGTGGGATCTCACCAGGGCTCTAACCAGGCTGGCAAGACCCCCACATAGCTCTGGTGAGACCCTACAGAGCCCTGGTTAAAGCAGGGCTTTGTAGGGTCTCACCGGGGCTCTGAAAAAAAAAAAGTACTGAAAATTTCGAAAAAAAAAACCAAAACAAAACCTGGTTTTCCCTACGCTATGTAACATTATTACCCAAATTTTTGGTAAAATATAAAAAAGACGGGGTGACGTCGGGTAAATAGACACCAAACACGTCAAGCTTTAAAACTGCACGTGCCTGTGAAATTAGTGTGAACAAAAGAAGCCAAATCTGACACGTTCCACACAAAAAAACTCCAAAAAATGGTAGTCTTGCGTTGTAATTGCAACAATTTTCTGTACGAAGTGGTACATTATCTAACAGAAATGCAGGGGTGTCAATATTTTTGGCCTTGACTGTTTAACCGTTTGCCGTCCGCCCGTTGTGAAAAAAACGGACAGACGGCGGGTTGCTGTAATTAGACGGCGGGTGAGCAGAGGAACTAATAGAGGAGACCGGTGCGGAGGACGAAAGAATCACAACTTTCAGGTTTTTGGGAGATATGCTCCTTTGTTCTTGATGCAAGTTTTTATATCTGGTTTTAAATAAAGCTGTTTAAGGATTTTATGTTTTGCACTATTCTTATTTTTTCTGAGAGCTACTGATGCCTGGAGGAAAGATTGTTTATTGGAACATGTATTAAGGATATGATTGAGCGCTATTTTACCATTTAACATATGGTCCATTGCCTCTGGCGAGTGTGGAGTGTGCACATAGAAGCACGGGATTTAAATTGGAATCATTTGCACCACAATCAACAAGTTTGTTTTGTGTGCAGCACATCAGGATTATATAAAGACACAGTTGGATGGCACGTTTTAATGGAATTTATGAATTGAAATGGACACAATGTTTTTGGTTGCTTTTGATGTTTTTTTTTTTTTATAAAATTGCTTTTTAGCAGTGTTTTGGGGTAATTTATTGGTAAAATGATGGTTATATAAATATAAAATACATTAAATTACATTAGTTACTGGTAAGTCTTTATTAGAGTTACAAAATAGTGGTTGAAAAAAAAAAAAAAGGGGCAAAATGTTCAACAAGTTATGACTCCTGAAACATGTTGGCTATTTAGTCTTCTACTTGCTCCTGCAATGGAATAAATTTATGTCTAGACTATTAACCCCTTATTTTCTTGTGGTCTGTGTACTTGCTAGGGTGATTCACGTCTCCATTTGTCTTGGTGACCATTATCAGCAAAGGAGAAAGTGGGGGGGAAATCACCAGAACAAAAAGGTAAGGGATAATCATCCAATGGGGACAACTGCTCCAGTGACAATTGTCTAAGATGGGAATTACCTTCACTTTGGTGAGCTTTCCTCTCATATTAAGTTGTCTCCAGGAAAGTAAGTGAAGGAAAATCTCCCAAGTGGGGCACAGAGAGCAAACCACTCCTAATAGTTTAAACTAGGGATGTCCCGATACCACTTTAAGACCAAATACAAGTACTGCCCCCTCATGTACTTGTCGATACCAATTACAGATACTTTTTCTTAAAGGGACAGGTACAAAAAAAACAATAGAATAATGATTTTATGCTAATTTATTTAGGATTATGAAGAACTTTAATTTAAAGGAGAACTATAGGGTTAGGACTTTTCCCCATAGTTCTCCTTAGGGTAACGGGAGGACACAAACTAGCATCCTCCCGTCACCCTAAGCTCAGTATACCGCGAGCTACTGCTCTTGGTATACTGAGACGCCGCAGCTGAAGCAGATCCTGACAATTATGTCTGGATCCGCCCAGCTGGCTCTGCAGAGCCAGCTGTACCTGCCCCCTCCCCCGTCCGATCCGCCAGTCAGCGCTAGCGGATCGGGGAGTTGGGAATCCAGCCCCTCCCCTGTCACGGCAGAGAGCTGTGACAGGATCGAGAGGTGAGCGAACGCCGGTATGTGTTCGCTCACCTCCCGATCTACTGAGCCAACCTGTTACAGTCTCATTGTCACAGGGCGGCTAGAACTATGAGGTGAGTGAAAAGCACTCACCTCATAGTTCTCCTTTAACCCCTTCATGACTGAGCTTGTTTTTAGTTTCTGTTCGTAAATGACTGACACACGTTTGACATTTTTGCTGTGTGAATATACTTTCTTACAAAGTGCACCCACACATATTATATATAGTTTTTTAGAGGACAGATAGACACACATATGTGATATAAATATGTAGCCCTAACGCCTCACTTAGGACAAATAAAAATATACAAAAAAAAGGGAGGAAAAAAACGGTTTAAAAAAAAAAAATTTCAGTTTTGATTTGTAGTATTTTTTACAAAACCAGCACAGCTAAAAAAAAAATGCAATAAATACATTCATTTATTTGTCCTTTATTTTTTTACACTTTTTTTTCTTTACACTTTTCACTAATTTTTTTTAAAACTTGTGAACATTTTTATTTTATTATATCAAGCAGTCATTGTGAATTAATCTCACTATTACTGCTTGATAAAT